CTCTTCTTTCTCCATATGCTTGTCATTCCTGATGTGGGATGTGCTTTCTTTAATTTCGTCATACAGTCTCACATCTATTTTGGTGTAGGAGGGTCATCTGTCTATGTGTTACTTTCATTGGTTAAATAAAGAAACTGCCTTGGCTTTTTGATAGGTCAGAATTTAGATAGGTGGAGTAGACTGAACAGAATGCTGGGAGAAAGAAAGCAGAGTCAGGCAGATGCCATGGCTCTCTTCTCCAAGACACACATAGGTTTAGACTCATCCCGGTAAACCACAGTCACGTGGTGATATACAGATTATTAGAAATGGGTTAATTAAGATGTGAGAGTTAGCCAAGGAGAGGCTAGATATAATGGGCCAGGCAGTGTTTAAATGAGTACAATTTTCATGTAATTATTTCAGGGTTAAGCGGTCTGGCACCCAAACGGGAACACAGCCTGCTGCCCTTCTTTTGCAACACTATTTTCAAGTCATGTATACATATACAATGGGCTGGTTAGTTTTAACTGAATTTGACACAACCTAGAATTACCTAGGATAGGAGTCTTAATGAGGAATTATCTAGATCAGGTTAACCTATGGACATGTCTGTGGGGTTGTGTTGATGGTTAATTGATGTAGGAAGACCTAGCCCATTGTGGGTGGCACTGTTTCTTAGGTATAGGGTTTGAACAGTATAAGAAAACTAGCTGAGAGCATAGCACACTATTAAGAAAACAGGGTTGCATACATTTCATTCTGCTCTTGACTGTGGACTGTTCCTTATTACTACAGGATGTGATGTAACTAGCTGCTCAGATTCCTGCCTTGGCTTTCCTCAATGATGGCTTGTAGCCTGGGGGTTTAAGCCAGGTAAATTCTTTCTCCCATGAGCTACATTTTTTCAGGGTTTTTGATCAATGCAACAGAAATGATACTAGAACATACGGTATTATGTGGAACAGTCTTTGTACACTGTAAACAAACTGGCATAGAGCTGGGCAGGAAGAGATTGGGCAAGAGAATCAGACGAGAAGGAAGGATACTGGGAAGAAGAGTGGAGTCTGGGGAGTCTTCAGAGACCTAGGAAGAAGAAAGATGAATGTTCTGTGTTGAAAAGGGATACTACGTAGCAGAGGGTAGAAAAGAAACATGGGCTAATTTAAAATGTAAAAATTAGCCAGTAACAAGCCTGAGCTGTGGGCCAAACATTTATAATTAATAATAAGCCTCTGTGTGTTTATTTGGGAGTGACTGCCAGGACACAGGAAAGCTGTGCCTACAATATTATAGGTATATTATAATATAACACATTATAATGCTTACTTGTATAAAATGTAGGATCCGCAAATGAAATAATGCATGATATATGTCTTTTTGAATCTGGCTTATTTTGCTCACTATGGCAGTCTCCAATTGTGTTCATTTTCTGCAAATGACTGACTAGAACTTCATATGTATGTGTCACAATTTCTGTATTCCTTTCTTTCTTCATAGGCATAAACTGAACCTATAAATTGGTTTTTAATGGATAATGCTGCAGTAGATATGATTTTCCAAGTATGCTTGTGGGAACACCACTCTGGAATGCATATCTGAAGAGTTTTAATCCAGCACACCACAGGCTTTTCTTTCTGAAAGCAGTTGGTAGAAAATGAAATGGGGTCTCAGAGTCAAACCCAAGGATTTGTTTCTCCAGACTGGGCAATCTAATCTTACCCCAGAATGACTTGGGATAAGGGAAATCCAACCTGTAATAAGATATTTTCATTAAAAACAAATGGATGGAAAGGAAAGAGAAGAATGGAAGAGCGAGAGAAGGGAGAGGAGAGAAAAGGAGGGAGGGAAGAGACTGAACCAACAGGACAGTGAAACGGAATTAAGTGCTGTAGTGACCAGCAAGGTTGCAGAAGGTCGGTTGTCCACAAGACAACTACCCAGACACAGCTTTTCTGTGCCCATGGAAGTGGCTTCCAGATTTTCTATGCATTTGAAACACTGAGGAAATGTGTGCCTTCTTAATACCCACGTTACATCCTTATTTGGATACACTTGAATTTTAAGGGTGGAGCGCTAGGGCCTTTTATTATTGCAGTGTGCAACAATGCTCGGAGACAGTTGTGTCTCCCATGGGTTTGTCAAAGTCCAAATATTAAGGTGCCATGGACATTCGTGCAACAAAGCCCCTCAATGCTGGCAGGAACTGGTTTGGACAAGAGCACCATGCTAGATGGGTTCCATCTTGGATTCCCATTGGTAGATTAGGGGTGGGTATCTACGTGTGTTCAGCTCTTTAGGAAATTTATGGGACTTGTCCCATAAATGGAATCTAAGGATCCTAGAGTGGTGGTTTTAAACCTGTTTTTTAAAATTTCTGCAGACATGGAAGTGGGGCTGAGAAAGGCTTAGCAGTCAATGTTACCCCTGTGCTACAGACTTCAAGTGTCTGTAGTATGACTGCTTCATGTTTGGGACCTCCAGGTAAAGAATTTTAGAAAAAAGACTTAGAGAGAGAGAGGACAGGAACTAAGCATAGATTTCCATTTTAAACAATTAGAAAAGAAACATGAAACATGAAAATGACACAAAATTCAAATTCCGGGGCCCACAAATAGAAATATATTGAATGGTAGCCACGCCATTTATTTGTGGCTTGTCTCTGGCGGCTCGGCTGAGCCAAGGAGCTGGGCTGATCTCTCCACGGTGAGACAACTGCTACATGACCCTCTCACAGGACATATTTGAAATTTCTAAAAGAAGAAATAAATGTCTCTTAATTTGGTGGATTGGCTTTGCAGTTTCTCTATTTCTACCGCAGAGAAAAGTTAGAAGAAAGCATGTATGCCTGCAATTTCCCCCCTCCCCCCAAAAATACTTGGTGTATGCATTCAGTAAGTGACTCGTTGTAGACCTGCTTTTTCCCCCCTGTCCTAACTTCTGCCTTCTTGCTTTGGAAGACAATTGTACAGTTTTCTCTTTTCCTCTGCAAAGACTCTGTTTTAGCACGGTGGTAGCTCACATCATAGCCAGTGCATAAAGCATAGAGAACTCTACCCTGACCCCACAGATACATCTCCCCTCTTCTCTCAACCTCTTTGAAAGCTTTTCAGCTAGGGCTGGGGCCTCATGTGCACTCCCCCGTAGATGCTGGAGTTTGGACCGTTCTGATTTGTGCTGGTAATCACAGCCTCTGTGAGTTCATGAGCACAACAGCCTTGTCCTGTCCGTAAGACAGCGTTTCTCAATATTCCTCTTCCTTCAGCTCTTACATTCTTTCTCCTCCCGTCTTCTTTATTACCTGAGCCTGCTGAATGTGTGAGGAGGGGCTTGGTATAAATGAGTTTATTTGTGACATTCTGCATTAACCACTGCCCACTTAGAAGAAGTTTTGGTGACCAAGGTTGAGAGCAGCATTAATCTAAAGGTATAAAAAACTATAGGCCTAAGCATAAATACTTACAAGGCAGTTGGATGTGACCATTTAGCAACAAAAATAGTTAGTTATTTCCTAGAACCTATGAATGTAGGAGGAAGGCCACTTGTTTATATCTCCCGCTGCTCAGCCCCAAAATCATCACACAGAAACTTTATTATTTAAATCACTGCTGGGCCCATTAGCTCTAGCTTCTTATTGGTTAGCTCTTACATCTTAATTTAGCCCATCTCCATTAATCTTTGCATTATGAGGTCGTGGCCTACCAGCAAAGTTTCAGCACGTCTGTCTCCGCCAGGAGCTCCATGGCTTCTTCCTGACTCTGCCTCCTTTCTCCCAGCATGCCATTTAGTTTTCCCCACCTCCATAAGTTCTGCTGTATCAACAGGCCAAGGCAGTTTCTTTATTAGCCAATGGTATCCACAGCATACAGAGAAGAATCCCACCTCATATGAACTCACCATTAAGGCCACGGGCTTTGACCAGGCATAAATTCTATCCCAGGGAGAAGTTCTGAAATCTGACTATAAGGTCATTGGTTTCCTTTGTAACAGTTACGCTATATTTGAGTCAGCGGGTATGTTTTGCTAGAATTGCTATTAAAGCACGCAGGAGCTAGTGCTAGAAAAGACCACTGCTGTCTTTTCTTCCCTACTGGCCGTGTTGCAGTGTTCAGCCCTAGCCAGCAGATGGCATTATCCCAGGCAGTTGATCTCTAAGTTCCGCAGCCAAAGTATATGGTTTCTTACCATCTAGTTCTGGTGGGCAACCAAGAACAACGGCAAGAGCCTGTTTATTGTGGGTTCCTGTGGGGACTCCTTTAACAGTAACTCATAGAAGGGAACCAGATACCAAATTCTAGGGTGAAAATTAGCACGTCCAGAGATCATCTTGGGAGAGCCCCGTGAAAAAAGTGGCATGTCAGCTTCCCAGGAATCTAGGATGGAAGGTGCTCCAGTGAGCTTGATCCTGTGCAAAGAGAGGGCAGCCACTCATAGGATGGGGATTTTGCTGACCAACATTGTAAGTTTGGAACCAGAATGCAATTTGTGTGAATTAAAATGCTAGAAAATTCATATTAGTAGTCTTCTCTGTTTTCCCAGACAATACTATGCTCTACTGTGTATAAATGACACCTCAAGAAAATAAGGAAACTTTGTTTTAAAAAGGTACTGGCGTATTAACCTGCCTGGAGTACCCACACGTCTGAGACACATATAAGAAGGATTCCTTTATTAGCATGATCTAGTAGAGGTACCACCAGTGTTGGAAGGTTGAATTCCCATTCTGGTCCTTGTCTTGATGGTGATTACAGGCTTTGACTGTTGTCTGTTGTAATATATCACTTAAATTATCTGGTCAGGTCACTGAGCAATGTCTGTGAATGTCATGTCTTTGGGTGTTTAAACTACTAGATCTACAAGAAGTGTGGTGATGTCATTCCCGATGTCATTGTCAAAACCAGTAAAAATGAGAGTATTGATCATTTTAAACAGATTCATGTCTCACTTCTGCTTAAATGGCACGTCTGAGGACAGGTAAGGCACGTGACGTTTCATTGGTTCTTCCTTTCCTTGTCTCATAGGTCCAACCAAAGCCAGGACTTGGTGTTAGAAATGCTGAGTGTTCCTTCCTGAGTGGCAGCTCGAGAGGTGACATGCATCGACAGTGCTCCAGGCTGAACTCTGACTCCACACCGAGAACCTTAGAGCCGCGCAGCCGGAGGAGCAGGAGCCGGAGGTTCAAAGCACATTCTCTGGAGCTTCCACAGTCCAGTGGGACATCTGAACGCCCTAGCGACCCTTTCTGGAGTAGCCCTGGCCGATCCTCCCTGGCTGATAGCTCAGACACAGGCATGCGGCACCGCTTGTCTGTCCCCGTGGAACCTGAGATGCGTATGAATGCCCTTCAGGAAAACAGCTTCCAGAAACTCGAGGCAGAGACAAACGTCGACACTGGCTTCACCGTCATCAATTCCAAACCCAGGCAATCTTTTATGAGATTTCCCAGGGATTTTCAGAGCAGTCAGCCGCCATGCAGCTTGTCGGGCTCTTCCTTCGAGGTGACCACTTCCTCAAACCAAAGAGTCTTAAAGGATAGACTCCGTCCGCTGTCACTTCCTGGTCAAAGGGACTTTGGTATAAAGGAGAGAATCTCAAAATGTGCCCACCATCTTCCTGTCCAGGGCGAAGAGAAAGAAGAATTCTTCATTTAGCATAAAACGAATGTGTCTCTCTAAGAACAGATAAGATAGAATGTTCTAGAAACGAAGCCTTGTATTAGTTGCCCCTCTCTCTGAAATACCTGACCAAAGCAACTTAAGGAAGGGTTTTTTTTTTTTTTTTTGACTCTCACTTCAGTGGGAAGGTCCATTCACGACTGGGAAGTCACGGAAGCGAGAGTGTGAGGCAGCTGAATATGTACCTTTATGGTCACGTGGCAGCATGGAAGGGAGGAGGGAGGATGCTGGGGCTTGCCTTTTTTTTTTTTTTTTTTTTGGTTCCATCTGGGACTCGGGCCCATGGAAAGACCCACCCACTTTCAGGGTGGGTCTTCCTTCCTCAGTTAAATCTTTCTGGAAACACTCTTACAGATAACACCCAGAGGTGCATTTCCACGGTGAGTCTAAATCCACTTAGGTTGACAATGAAGGTTAGAACTACAGACGCAGATTCAGGATCGTCCAGTTTCTTGCTCGTCTGCGAGGGCCCCAGGCTCTCAACACACAGGTTCATATTGCTTTCATTTCCAGTATTAGAAGTCCACGGGGAGCTGATAGTTTGCGGGCTAGATGGGAGAGAATGCAGCCAGGCAGAGGAAGAAAGCCCAGTGCCTGGACTTCTCAGTGGCACACTAACCCAGCTGCATGTGTTGGTTCAGCACCCGATGAGAACACTGGCATTATATGCAAATGAATTGCATGCATTATGCAGATATGATTAGTGTGTGCAATTTGGCTTTAATTTTTACTTGAGATTGCATGGCTTATTCCCCCTGGACAGTGTGAACTATTTATTCTTTAGTGCTTTTTAATTTTTATGTGACCTCCTTTGGTAAGTAGGCCCTGTTTACCACATACCCTCTTGTGATTTTGCTTTCAAAGTTCTTTGCATCTGAAATGACTGAAAATGCGAAGTGTTTTAAAAAATTATTATCCCCTGCCTGCCCAGTTTAATTAGTAAGAGTACCAGAAGCCAGAAAGCTAGGGTAAAATGAATGCTAGACTCCGCAATAATTCCATTTCTCATTTGTTCATGGCCTACTCTGAAAGGGGCAGCTCTTCTTGTTAAAAAACCAAGGAAGACTTCCTTGCTCATGTTCTCCCTCCTTCTGCTCTTCATCTGGACCTTGGGAGCTCAGTCCAGTGCTCCAATGTGGGTCTCTGTCTCTGTCTGCACCCATGGCCGGATGAAGGTTCGATAGTGATATGCAAGATATTCATCAGTGTGGCTATGGGAGAAGGCCAGTTCAGGCACCCTCTCCTCTGCTGCCCAAGGACCTAGCTGGGGACATCTCCTTGGACACCTGGGAACTCCTCTAGAGTCAAGTCTCTTGCCAACCCTAAAATGGCTCCCTTAATTAATATATCTTCTTTCCTGATCCCATATCTACCCTTCCTCCATCTCATCCATCCCGTTCCCCCAAGCTCTCCCCAACCTTCTCCTTCTTCCTTCTCTCTCTACGAAACCAATGATAATGCAACTGGATTTTGATTCTACTGCATGTACTGGCTTTTTGGGGGCCTAGTCTGTTTGGATGCACACCTTCCTAGACCTGGATAGAGTGGGGAGGGCCTTGAACTTCCCATAGGGCAGGGCACCCTGACTTCTCTTAGAATTGGAGAGGGAGGGGGGAGGAGGAGTTGGGGGAGTGGGAGGGGAATGGGAGGGTGTGGAAAATTTTAATAAATAAATAAATAAAATAAAAATAAAAACCAAGGAAGACATGAGATGATTAGAAAATTTTAGATCTCCGCTGAGCACAGCCAAAAGGTTGTGCTGAATGAGTCACTAGAACAGGACTTGTGAACTAGATGTCTTTTGGGGGTTCCCAGGGCTTTCTGCAGTTCTTATTCATTCATTTATATGTTCACCCCATTAATGTTTTTGCCTGCCTTATGATGTATGTATGATACGATACTTAGACATTTTGTGGCCACCAAACCCTAAAGGTAGCAATGGTTTTGCAACTGCGATAATCTATAGAACCAACTCTTTAAAGAGGTGTTGAGATTCCGACTTAGTCCACAATCCAGGCCCACGGTTACCATATAAAGAAGCAGTGCCTTTGTTACTTGTCTCATTGTTTTGATAAAATACCACAACAAAAGCAAGTGAAGGGAGGGAGGGATTGCTTTGGCCCACAGTTCCAAGTTGCAATCCATGATGATGGGATACTCCTGGTTCTAGAGTTTGAGATCTCTGGACACATTGCCAGCTTGAGGAAAAACCACCCACTTTGAGGTTGATCTGTCCCATCTCAATTAGCCTAGTCAAAACAATCCCTCGCATGTACGCCCAGAGACTTGACCTAGGCATTCCAACCCAATCACACTGGCAATATCAGCCATTGCATGAGCATTCATAACCTGCAAGTGAAGATGGCAAATATTATAAACTGCAGTTTACAGTCTTGAAACCATAGTCACAAGGAGCACAATGGGTTAGTCAAGATGTGAGACTTAGCCAATAAGAGGCTAGAACTAATGGGCCAGGCAGTGTTTAAATGAATACAGTTTACGAGTAATTATTTTGGGTGTAAACTAGTGGGGGAGCTGGAATCCCAGCGGGAACGCAGCCCGCCACTCCTTATGCAACAACAATCTCTGTTGCCCAAATGCTGGAGCTTGGGGATTAGGTGTATACTCATGACTAAAGATAAATGGAAGCTATTAGTGCCTGTGCTATTGGTTGTCCTGTTCAAGAAGCTGTCTCCTGTGCCAACGCATCTGAGATGATTTCCCACTTTCTCTTGTATCAGGTTCAGTGTATCTGGATTTATGTTGAGGTCTTTGATCCACTTGAACTGGAACTTTGTGCTTGGGGATAAATATGGACTGATCTGCATTCTTCTACACGCTGACATCCAGTTAGACCAGCACCATTCACTGAAGATGTTTTCTTTTTTCCCCATTGTATAATTTTGGCTTCTTTGTCAAAAATCAGGTGTCCATAGGTGTGTGGATTTACTTCTGGGTCTTTGATTTGATTCCATTGATCCACTTGTCTCTTTTTATGTCAATACCATGTAGTTTTTATTACTATAACTCTGTAGGAGAGTTCGAAATCAGAGATGTAATACCTCTGGAAGTTTTTTTTTTTATTGTACAGGATTGTGTTATCTCTTCTGGGTATTTTGCTTTTCCATATGAAATTGAGTGTTGTTCTTTTAAGGTCTGTGAAGGATTTTACTTGAAGAATTTTACTGGGATTTTGATGGGCCTTGCATTGAATTGGTAGATTCTGCTTTTGGTAAGATTGCCATATTTACAATGTAAGTCCTACCGATTCATGAGCATAGGTGATCTTTTGATGTCTTCTTCAGTTTCTTTCTTCAAAAACTTGAAGTTCTTGTCATACAGGTTTTTCACGTACTTGGTTAGAGTTACACCAAAAAAGGATTGTAGGAGCCAGAGCGGTCAAGGACACCACAAGAAAACTCACAGAATCAACTAACCTGGGCTCCTAGGGGCTCACAAGGACTGAACTGACAACCAGGGAGTTTGCATGGGACTAACCTAGACCTTCTGCATATATATAATGTTACAGTTGTGAAGCTTGGTCTTCTTATGGGACTCCTAACAGTGTGAATAGGGGCTGTCTCTGACTCTTTTACTGGTTTTGGGGACCTTACTCCTCCTACAGGGTTGCCTTGCCCAGCCTAAATACATGGGGAAGTGCTTAGTCTTACTGCAGTTTGATATGCCATGTTTTGTTGATACTCATGGGAGAGCTGCCCTTCCCTGAACAGAAACAGATGAGGAGTGGATGGGGGATGGGTGAGAATGGAGGTGGTAGGGTTAGGGGGAGGGACTGGGAGGAGAGGAGGGAGGGGAAACTTTGGGATGGAAAATAAATAAATAAATAAATTTATAAAAAGAACAAATAGAAGGTGAAGAAATGGCTCACTGGTTAAGGGAGCTTGTCACTCTCCCGAGAGGCACACATCTGGTCCTCAGAGCCCACACTGGACCACTTACAACTGCCTGTAACTCTGGCTCTGTGAGATCTAATTCACTCTTCTGTCTGCATAGGAACATGCATGCATATGGTATACATTCACACAGACAGACAGACACATAAAATAAAAATAAATATTTAAAAAATATTTGATTCTGTGTCTATCATCCTCTTAGATAGGTGTAATATAAGAATACACATGTTTGTTTAACTGTCCTCTTTCCTTTTCTTTGTCTCTTCCCCCTCTTCCCTGCCTCCTTCTCTCCTTCCTTCCCTCCCTCCTCCCTCCTTCCCCTCTCTTGTTCCCTTCTTCCTCTCTCCCTTATTCCCTCCCTCCCTCCCTCCTCTTTCCTTTCCTCCTCCCTCCATCTCTCCCTTGTTCCCGTTTCCCTCTCTCCCTTTTTTCCTCCCTCCCTCCCTCCCTCCCTCTCTCCCTCCCTCCCTCCCTCCCTTCCTGCCTTCCTTCCTTCCTTTCTTCCTGGGATGGAACCCCGGGCTTCTACTGGGCAAGTCATCTTCTAGGTGGTACACTCCCAGCCCCAGCTAGATCTGTCAAGACCTGGAACACGTACACCCAACTGGAGAGAAAGCCTGGCTTAGGCACCAGCAGGCCTTGTAGAAACTTGTGCAGTCTGGGTTTGTGTGCTCTGCTGAAAACACCCAGGGACCTGAGCAGAATTGCAGGTGGATAACGACAGGAATTCCAAATTGATTTTTTTCTGTCCATTAAACATCAAAATAGTCTCATTGTATTTTCCTTCTACCTCACAGATTAAACTTTGGTCTTAGAAAATAGTATGAGGGACTTAATGTTGGTGTGGCTTTCTATAACAAAGCCTTTTTCTAAAACCTCATTTCCGTTGAACAATTGAGTTGCCTATGAAAGCACAGCAGGGGAACGTTTTAAATTTCCCTTACACTATCTGATGCTATCTCAATTTCTTCAACATAAAATATGGGTGAGGATATGAGTCCATGGAAATCGTAAAAAATATTGAGAAGTTCCAATATGCACCTTACAAAATTGACTTATAAAATAATGTGCTCTTAAAATGTCACTCACTCTCTCCTATTCAATGTAAGAATCCAATCTACATTATGGGATGAAAATGTCAGTGGAGCAGGTTGGGATTTAAAGTTCTCTATATATGTGACCTTGAA